CGGTTGAGGGTAGGTCAGTGCTCTGCTTTGCTGAGGACTTTTTGAAGAAGTCAGAAAAATACAGCTAGATTGGGCAGCATATTTATTGTGGCGTGAAGCAACAAGTCATAGTAATTACCATTATGCAATCAGATTGTGTCCTAGGTCTTGTAGTGATTGACAGGCATTGGGTTCCCTAATTTGACACCCCTAAAGCATTTCCTATAACTATGCTTCATTGTGGTTTGGCAAATTTGTGAACTGCTTGTCTGTCAGGATACAAATGAAAAGGAGCGTTAATGTTGGCCCTAAAACTACGTCGTTTTGGTAAATTTATAGATTTGTTATATCTAAAGATCGTAAAATTAGATTTTAACATATATCAAATGTGATTGGCCAAGCTTTACCTTTCCGCCTCAAAAATGTAAAACACTAGTGACCTGTCCTTCTTGAATCTCCCAAAGCTGGTTGCTATACTCAAGGTGGAATATTCCCTTAGACACGCTACCTTGTTTATGCTATGGAGTGATTGTTTTGTATTTTCATTCAGTCCCCATGAGTGTGGCCAACAGTTAATCTCCAGGATTATGTATTATGTGCCAGCACTCTATTGGACTTCATACCTTTTTGTATGTTGAGGATGACCCCAGATCAGAAATAGCCCATATGGCCTGACCGTTTCTTATTTCTGTCCAAGTTTACTTAGTGGTGGTACTGGAGGATTGGCATCGCTGAACATTTCCCATGGAGCACCATTGCATCTTATGGGTGGTTTCACCAGAAACTGATACTCCTCTAATATTAAACAGTGTTAATATTCTGTCATTTGGCAGTCAGCATTTATGAGTACAGAAGGGAATAAAAATTGGTCATAACTAAAAATCATTTGAATGCGGAATTGCCTTACAAGCTGTTTCAGGACTCTACATACACTTTCGTCCTTTCCCTTTTGCTGTGGCCACTGCTTTCCATATTATACCATTGGGTTTTGAAAGAATGAACCTTACACCCATAATGTTATTGTGTATCAGTCTTGTATATAATGCCATACACTGATCATTGGCCTTAGACTTGCATGATGGCCTTACTGACCCCATTTGATGGGGCTGCTTGCAAAGTATTACAATGTGTTCACCATCCTAAATTGTTTACCTAAAGCCTCAGCACTACTTAGTTCCTAATGTATTTATATAATGTGGTCTGACTGACACTCCTTGCAAAATATGTGGCATCTGATCATTTTTTTCCCCATAGATTAAAAACTTGAAACCTAGACTATCTGCGACAGGGATGAACGAACCCTAGGAGCCAAGTAGGAGCGAACGCACCTAAAAATGAAACTGGATAGCTTTGCCTTTGCTGGCTTCTTATTGTAGCCAATGAAAGCAGAGTTTCTTTGACTGCTTGAAGCAGGCCTGTACTGTTTTAAGTGGTCACTAGTATATCTTGGCATAGAAAATGCATCACTTTATTACGGTTGTGATGATGGATGTTCTGCGCACTAATCACTCAACATTTATTGGGTATGCTGGATACATCCATGATTCAGGATTGATGATGGCACCTTTCCTATTGTTGCCGAAGCACTCTATTCATGTTAAAGGTCTGATCCCTGTGTAGTGTGAAGTATGATCATAAAATACTGTGCTGTAATAAGTCACCCCGCCATGTTAACCATCTTGTAAGAGATTGCTTTAAATACTTAGCCATTAGAAATAACGGCACTCGAGTCCTATGGTGAATGGCCCCATGCCCAGATTGCTAGCTCAGCAGTAGGGATTAGGAGACTGAAGGTTTAGTCGGCAGCTAAACTCCAATCCATCTTATTAGCACACAACAATTTTGGTCATGCCTTCAGCAGTTGGAGAACCACATAGGATTTGTTTCTGCCATAATGGTTAGTGTTTCCGGTCCTCTTCTTTTTTTTTTTTTTTTCCATTTCTATCAGGGCTATTCACAGAAGGGTGAAGAGTTTGGAGAAAGCCGGAGAAGTGAACAATCTAGGACAACATAGCTGAACTGGAAAGTGAACTGAATTGGAGACTTTTTCAAAATCAGCTGTTGTCCTAGATTGTTCACTTCTCCAAACTCTTCACCCTTCTGTGAGTAACCCTGTAAATCTTATAAAGCAGGATGGTCAGGTTGGGGACAACTTGTACTACAGCCCAGTGTTGATGTCACCTCTCTTCCTCCCTTGCTAAGAGTTAACATTGTGATGGGGAATGTTTTTTTCTCTGTTGCACTAGTTTTTAGCCATTGATAACTGTGTAGGTGTGTCCGATCAGGGCGCCTTCATCACGTTGTTAAAGCAATGCACTTGGTATGTCAAGCTCCTTTAGGTGAACCTACTGGCTCCTGAGTTCCATCTATGATATTGGATTGGTTTTAGTAAACATATTGTTTCCTCCTTCTGGTGCAGTTCACATGACCATTTCCTGGCACAAATAAACACATTTCACTAAGTATCCTATGTTTGTTCTTATTGACCAGGATCTGAATCTAATTGACGTACCCCTCGTTCATTAATTTATTGATGTAGCCGAGGCGACAGCCAGTCAGAATCTTATAAGTGTCTTGGACACTCCTAGAAGAGTTCCATTAGCATTGATCTTCTTCAGAACTCGTTGTACATTGAAAGGAAAATTAAATCTATAAACCAGGCAAGGCTGACATTAGTCTGTTGGGATAGCAATTAACTGATTTGGTTGTGGCACAATGCTTTGCTCATGCCCCAGAATATGGCTAAACTATTTGCTGTTCTATATTAGAAGGTAATTCTCATAGCTGGAATTTTTTCTTGTCTAGCTGTTAGAGTAACCGATCTGTAATTTTTTTTTTTCTTTTACACTTCAGCTAAGCTGTTTCCTAAAGCAGGTGAAAGTTATCTACCTTTTAACCCCTTCGTGGCGGGAGACGTACACTGTACGTCCAGCCACAAAGGGACCAAATGACTCGTCACGTACACTGTACGTGACGAGTTATTTGCTGCACTAGAAGGCTGCTAACCGCTGAGAATCAGCGGTTACCTTTCAGTAATAGATGTCTAACTATCTAGAGATCCATTACTGAAAGGGTTAACCTTTTTCAGACACCCGATACCTTAATATCGGGTGTCTGAGAGTCACAGCAAAGCAGAGACACATGTCGGCTTTTGCCAGCATTCTGACAGCTCGTATAGATCGAGAGATATCTCTCTCAAGCTATACTGGCTTTTTTTTTAATCTTTTGACTTTCAAGAATAGATACAAAATGTTATGTATTAGACACATAATGTATCTATTCTTGAAAGAAGTCATTTACGCACAGAAACCAAAAACAAGCTCAGTCATGAAGGGGTTAAGATGCAGTCAACAGCAGTTCTCTGCTCCTGCCTGTTCCATGAGTGGTTATATTGGCTGTCAGCAGGAGAAGGTCTCTGACATGTGAAGGGGAGACCTGCACATATTTTAGTCAAAGGATCATATACTTCAACTGTTATACCAAGTGTGTGATATCTGCCGTCTAAGCAGAATCAGTCGTTAAACACTTTTTTTTGCAGTAGGATGACCCAGAGGACCTCTATCAGTGGTAAAGTCTATCATCCAGTTGTAGAATACCAGTTGGCGTTCTGTTTGACACCCCTTGTTAGTGGGACTCCATTCAGTACCGCTTTTGCCTGTAGTAGAGTGGAACAACCTTGTTCTAGTTACATCTAAGGGGATAGACCCTTGCCTTTGAGTCCTCCTTAATCCCTGCTGTGTGCCTGGGACATGAAGTGAGAATAAGTTTTCAAGATAACTTTCCTGATGGGGATCTTGATTATTCCCTTCTATCCAAATCCTCAGCTATGTGGGCAGAGCATTTAGATGGGGCCACATACAGTAGTGGACATTACGCAGAGTATAGGATTCCCCCAGCTGTTTTTAGGTGAAGTTCCTCATTGAGCACAGAAAGTAGAGCAGTGCCTACCTGTTTCACATGCATATATTCTGGTGGTTTTGGAGATTTGGAAAAGCCTTTTTAACTTTAAAGAAGTTTGAATCCCTTAATCTACAGCTGTGACTGCACCAGAGCTTTTATACAAGCAAGGTAATAATTGGGGCCTTTTGGCCAACACTGCAGGCCACTAAGTAGAGCTGGAGCTTTAGTAATTATGTTAACGGTCCTGGCCCAATGGTATAATGCCCTGGTGTGTGTGCGCCACATAATGTTCCAGGTAGCTGGGCAAGCACATATTAACATATTGTCTTTTTCTCAAGGTGAGTGATGCACGCAGGTAAGTCCCCCCCCCTCCCCACCCTGTGTTCTGGACTTACATCCCATTGTGATGTAATCTAAACTGGAATCTGCACCAGTCTGAGATCAGCTGCGGTAGTGAATTGCCTGCCTGCTCCTCCTTATATTTTATCTCCCCTTCCCTCCCTTGCTTTGGCTGGTTGTGAGTGGATTTCGGATACTCCTCGAAGCAATAAAACAATATAAAATTCAATCTGCTGCTAGTTTGATTTAGTTGAGTCAATTCTTTATTTGCATCTAGTCTTTTTCACAGCTTACAGATCAGTTCGAAAGCAGGTTATGTGGGTGGGATTCAAGTACACATTCTGTTCTCCAGTGGTTACGTTTTGGCTCGGTAGGCCTTGTATATGGAAAAGTCGGTCTGGTACCAGAGCAACTAGTCAACCTTTCATGTTCTTGCTGCGGGCCAGGAGATGAAAGGCAACATGGCATTGTCCATCTGACACTTTCATACACAAGGCCGAGTTGCCCTAGCCATCACTGTTTGGGTTGGACTTTGATGATTTCTCTATTCCACTAGTTTACTTACTAGTCCATAGGGAATATCAGTCTGCAGCTTAGACTTGTGGGTCTTCATGTTTGATAGCGGTAAGCTGTGAGAATGACTCTTGTTTGGTCCACTGTAGCTTTCTGGTCTCTGCACTCCAAGGCAAGATTTTTCTAACCACCCAAAACCCATTGTGTAACACTTAGGTCTGTCCCACCCATCCCTCGCTAACTGGCTTCCTTGTCTGTTTCTTCCACAGGCAGAACCGATCCTATCCCGATTGTGGTTAAATATGATGTCATGGGAATGGGACGCATGGAAATGGAGGTGAGTGAATGTGCTAAATGATAAATTCTTTGAGGAAGGGTCTGTGCACAAGCCATTGAAAAGTAAAGCCAAACCTTTTTTATTTATTTTTTGGGTCACAAGAGTACATTCACTAATATACTCCTGTGACCCAAAGTCTGCATAAAGCCGGCAAGTGCCCTTTATATGTTGACAGCGCAGAGCCGTGCTGCAGCCGGGAAGGATCCTGACTATATTGTCAGGATCTACCCACCTGCCTGATTGGCAGCTGGCTCTGCCTCTCCAGACCCAGCTAAGCCCATACTCTCCCCTATCTGTCCCTACAATAAGCATTGAAGAAACCGAGTGGAGGGGGGAATCCCTGCGGGGAGCGGTGGGTGATTGTCATTACCCTCTGCAGGGAGAAAGCCCTGAGCTGAGCGATCAGCGGTTACGTGATCACTCAGCTCTCAATCTAAAGAGTTAGCATATGACAGCTGCAGTGCCCCGTATTTTATGCTCCCAATACTTCTTTTACCCTTCCACTGCCAAAGTTGTTTTTTTTTTGCACACATGGTAAAATCCACATTTCAGGCCAGAATATTGCTTCAACCCCTCATAAGCGTATACTTTCTAAAAGTGGAGACCCTGTAGAATAAAATGGTGGCAGTGGCAATTTTTTGGCACATGATAGTGTAAGTTTGTCAATCCCAAACTTTCAGTAAAACTGCATTCACATTTATTTCAGTGCACACAAGCATGATATAATACAGTTTTGTAAAATATAAAAGATGAGTAAATGGATACCAAATATGTCAAACCTCAATATTGTGTGCACCTGCGGAACGGCAAAAGCCTTTAAAGGCCATCAAGTTTACCATGAGTAATGGCCATAGAATTAGTGTACTCAGTCTGGCACGTGCAACTATTCCTAACATGCGGCGCAGTGTGTCAGAATGCATGGAGCTCTTCAGCATCTGATTTTGCAGCCAGATCGCCTGAAGAGCTCTATGCATTATCACACACTGGACAAAACGATGGCCAATTTCAAGCCATCATAGTCCTGATGCATGTTCTCCTTTTAGTAAGGCCCGATAAAGGGTGTACTTGTATGAGCCCCTGAAATGCATTGGCTCTTTCTATACTGTCCCCTCAATCCCATACTGAATAAAGATATGTCTGGGGCTTCAATTCACAATCCTGCAAATTGACACCAAATGTAGATCCTTTGCCATATAGAAGCTGCCTGTCCGGTAGTCAGATCACTATACTGAATTTTTCAAACCCTAATTGGCCATCCACACCTATAGGACAAACCTTGCAGGTCCAGCACTGTTGTTCCACTTCTGTGCAGTTCCTTTTGGTTGGTGACAGACATTTTCAGGCCTAAAATGTGGAATATAACATGGGTGCAAAAATTGAAAAAAGGGCCTCAGTCATGAAGGGATTAATAGAATATTTTTGATACTCCTCTTACCAGTTGGATTATGCAGAAGATGCCACTGAGCGAAGACGTGTCCTGGAGGTGGAAAAAGAAGACACAGAAGAGCTGAGGCAGAAATACAAGGTGGTTCTTTCCTTCACAATACTAAGATATCTCTTTTTGCCTATCAGTGTTTTCATTCTCATGAGCTGTTCCTGGCATAAGATTACCCCTGCCCAACTGCATTACCGTACATTGTCCTTAAATCCAGAGATTTTGCATGTCTTTAGCACTCTAGAACACCATCATAGAGGAGGGCATGGAAAATGTAACCTGTGCACCGTCTGATGAATTTTGATGTCTTGGAAAATGACTTTTTCCACTTGGCTTCATTTATCCATCAGTGGCCATCTGTGGGCTCTTCTCAGGATTCTATATAGTCTTGTCTGCATGTAGTTGTGTTCTTACTGTATGTACGACATGGCAAAACAGACCTAGTAGGCTTAGAGACTCGGCTGACCCCCCTCCTCCCCCATTTATACACACATTGAGGACAGTATACATACAATTCAATGTCCTACTACATTCACCTCCAACTATGCTGCCTTGACACATTACCCCTTTGCTATCCCCTGCCCTGCTCCAACTCTTTGTTGGCTCCCATTCCCAGTGCAGCATTGAGCATCTGACCACGAGAAAGGGGTGGGGAGGAGAAGAAAGCCCATGTGTGCCACTAATGGAAGAGGAGCTGCATATGCCTTTGGTTTAAAATGTTATTAACATGCAGGATTGGTGGGACAATCAGCAGGAAAATCCATGGTTGTGGGAAGAGGTTAGAGTGTTGGAAGGGGAAAATGCTATCCTCGAGAATGAATAAAGTCTTCCTGTCAATACAGAGCTGGTGTGAAGGAGGAACTTAATGACCCCTAAGACACTCTGAATATGATATATAGGGGCCAATACTGGTAAGTAAACATTCAGCCAGGGCAGTCCTGCTAGAGGTTATAGTCAATGACTTTTCAAGGATGCCCATATTTTTTCTAAGCATTCCCTTTAACTGCAAGCATTGCCGCTCTAAACAGAAAAAAACAATGCAATTTAGTGTGCATTGTGCAGACTTTTGCGGCGGCCACGCGGTACAAAACCTCGCGGCCCATAAAATAGTACAAGCACGATTTTTTGACGGATTCCACGCGTTCGCAGCTATATAATAGCCGCAAACGAGCGAAATCTGTGCTGATGAAAGATTTTAGTGTTTGTGTTGCCGTGCGGTCTTCCGCGTGGGAAACGCTATATGTAAATGGAGCCTTAGCGATCTACCTTTTTTGCATTTTTTTTTTTTACAGCCATTTCCTATTCTCATTATTGCCATGCAGCTGTTGCTGAGTTCCCCCACAGGGCACTAAACTAGCCCAGCACGCACTACCTATCCAGATTTAGAGGACATGTTGTAATTGGCGCCTTGTACACTATTTTTCTCAAATTCAGTATTGCTAGATCTGTGCGTGGGCCGAGAACATTTTTTCCAAGTCTTGTGCTTTATGGCTGTCTGGCTAAAGATCTATAGCTGCCTTTGTCATATCTCTTGGCTGTGTGGTGCCGGAAGTGTGGGACATCCAGAGGTGTCCGTTTAAAGTAAAAATCACTGGTTTATACCGACATCTAATGGCCAGACTGTGGAAGTGAAAATCTGAATTGCTTTATACTAGCAGTGAACTACTTGGGGTCTCCTGCCCTAGAACTAGGAGTCCAGGCATAGCGTGTCAGCGTAATATCTAAACATGGATGTCCTGTGATCTGTGCAGGATTTTGTGGACAAGGAGAAAGCCATAGCGAAAGCCCTGGAGGAGCTGCGTGCGAACTTCTACTGCGAGTTATGTGACAAGCAGTATCAGAAGCACCAGGAGTTTGACAACCACATCAATTCTTATGACCACGCACACAAACAGGTAAAGTGAAGGAACTTTAGTGAAGAAGTGAAGAAATCTACTCAAAACAGGGTGGTTTTATTTATTTGTTTGTGGGTAGATCGGGGCAAGGTTTGATTTTTTTTTTTTTTTGTTTTTTTTGTTGGGTTGTGACTCTTAGAGAGATGTAGAAGGGGTTGGTGCACTTAACCCCCATTGAGCTCAGTTAGGCCAATGCATGTCTTTAGTAAAACCTGCTCTAAGAGAGATGTGTGGGTTGCAGTTACTGACCACCTTCAGAAAATGCTAATTTCTCGACTGTCTTGCTGATACTTTTTCTACTTTGAGTCATTGATTTAAAGCTAATTTCCCCAACTTTCATTGGTGGCCTGCTTGTTTCTCATCAGTGACTTAGAAAATATTAAAGCCAGACGGCTAGCATTTTCTAAAAAAAAACAACCTCCACATTCCTCTTAGTGTATCTGTCATAAAATAAGCTATTTGTGGCATTTATTGAAATAATTCCTCCATATATATTTTGTGTTAATCCAATTTGACGGGTGCATTCCATTTACTTAAAAAGCCAAGCACTGTACGTAACTTGCTTCCAGCTATCTTCTGGCTGTGGGTTCCATTCCAGTGCTAAATTATAACTGGTTGGGAGGTGCATGTGGCAGGTACTGTGTCCTACCATCTCTCCCAGAGACCAGGAACACAAAGTCTCGGAAAATAATTCCTACTATCAGATGCTCCTCGGGTTACGATCTTTCAGTTTACAATTTTTCAACTTTACGTTCATATGCGATAGGTTATGTATACTGTATACAGATGCTCATTTGGTTGTGTATATACTGTACTGTATATATCATAGCCTAGCCTACCTTAAACTGGCTAAAACACTGACATTAAAACAAAAAAGGCAAGCTTAGACTGTCACAGCCATAACAAGGAAGATCCTCAACCAGAGTCTCTGATAAGTGTGAATACTCCTTTCACAACTGCAAAAGCTTGATGTGCTTCTTTGAAAGGAGATCTGTACCAAGATGCTTCGACCACCATTGCTGTCAGAATTACAAGGTGAGCAGTATTGTAGATGCAAGGCATTCTGTGATTGGAGCAAAGATGTCGCATCCCCACCCTCTCCTCTTCTCTTCCAATCAGAGGATGCCTTGTATTCTTTGAAAAATATACAAGTTGCTAGGAGGGCCGGGGATGTGACTGCATGAGTCTTATCCCTCGCTCCCGTCAGTGTCCGGAAGCTCGGTGTTGTGTAGCTTCAAGTTAAGACTTATTCTCGGCCCGCCACATAACACCCTGCTTTTTATTCATCATTTATACATCTATTTACACAGTATGTAAAAAATGTATATATATATACATATATATATATATATAGTGCATTCAGAAATTATTCAGACCCCCTTCACTTTTTTAATGTTATGTTGCAGCCTGACACTACAGTCGTTTAAATTATTTTTTTTTCTCTCAATCTACACTCAGTACCCCAAAATGACAAAGTGAAAACAGAATTTTAGAAATATTTGCAAATGTATGAAAAACTGAAATATCACAATGACATAAGTATTTACATATGCATACGTATGCAACAAGACTTGAAATTTAGCTCGGGTGCCTCCCATTTCTCGATCGTTGCTGACATGTTTTTACACCTTGATTGGAGTCGACCTGAGGTAAATTCTATAGAAGGCCTCACAGCTGACAATGCATACTGTATCAGAACAATAGCTGAAAGGAACTGCCTGCAGAGCTCAGAGACAGGATTATTGCACAGCACAGATCTGGGGAAGGCTACAAAAATATTTCTGCTGCGCTGAAGGTTCCTAAGAGCACAGTGGCCTCTATAATCCTCAAATGGAAGAAGTTTGGCACAACCAGGACTCTTCCAAGAGCTGGTTGCCCGGCCATACTGAGCAATCTGGGGAGTAGGGCCTTAGTAAGAGACGTGACCAAGAACCCAATGGTCACTTTGACTGTGAGAGATCCCCAGAGATCCTGTGTGGAGATGGGACAAAGTTCCAGAAGGACAACCATCACTGCAGTCCTCCTCCCATCTGGCCTTTATGGCAGAGTGGCTAGACGGAAGCCTCTCCTGATGAAACCAAGATTGCACTGTTTTGCCTCAATTCTAAATGTTATGTCTGGAGGCAAGCAGGCACCGCTCATAACCTGCCCAATACCATCAACATTGAAGCATGGTGGTGGCAGCATCATGCTGTGGGGGTGTTTTTCAGCAGCAGGGACTGGTCAGGGTTGTGGGAAAGCACAGAGATATCCTCAATGAAAACCTGTTCCACAGAGCTCAGGACCTCAGAATGGGCTGAAGGGTCATCTTCCAACATGACGACGATCCTAAGCACACAGCCAGGACAACACAGGAGTGGCTTAGGGACAAGCCTGTGAATGTCCTAGAGTAGCCCAGCCAGAGCCCTGACTTCAACCCTATTAAACATCTCTGGAGAGACCTGAAAATGGCTGTCCACAGACGGTCCCCATCCCACCTGAGCATGAGGATTTCCAAAGAAGAATGGCAGAAAATCCCCCAATTTCTGCCAAAGGTGCTTCAACAATGTACAGAGTAAAGGGTCAGAATGCTTAAGTACATTTATATTTCAGTTTTTCCTTTTTAATAAATTCAGACATTTCTAAAATTGTATTTTCACTTTGTCATTATGGGGTACCGGGTGTAGATATCAACTGTAGTATCGGGCTGCAACATAAACAGTGAAGGGGGTCGGAATACTTTCTGAATGCACTGTGTGTGTGTATATCAATATATAATATATACATGCTGTAAAGTGAGAGTGCTTTCAGAAAGTGTGAATAGTTCATTTACTTTCCATTTTTTTAATTGATAAAAAAATAAACAGAAGAGAAATCCAAATCAATATTTGGTGTGACCCATCTCCCCCCCCCCTTGCCTTCAAAACAGCATTAATTCTTCCGGGTACACATGCACACAGTTTTTGAAGGAACTCGGCATGTAGGTTGTGCTAGGTACATCTTGGAGAACTAACCACAGATCTTCTGTCTCCATGTAATCCCAGACAGACTTCATGATGGTGAGATAAGGGCTCTGTGGGGGCCAAACCATCACATCCAGGACTCCTTGTTCTTCTTTACGTTGAAGAAAGCGCTTAATGACATTGGCTGTATGTTTGGGGTCGTTCTGCTGCAGAATAAATTTGGGGCTAATCACACGCCTCCCTGATGGTATGGCAGGATGGATAAGTACAGTGGTACCTCGGTTCGCCAACTCCTCTGTTCGCGAACAAGAAGTTCGGCAAAATTTAGCCTCCGTTTGCGAACTCCGCTTCGGGTGACGAACACAATCGCAGCCATTTTCCCTGTTCTGACACATGGTCGTGGCTTCCTCTAGTCAAGTTCGCGGTGTCATCACAGTTTGATTTCGTTCGCGACCACAATCGCGAGACAAATTAAGTTCTTGAACCGAGGTACCACTGTATCTGCTTGTATTTCAGCATTGAGGACACCGTTGATCCTAACCATATCCCCAGCTCCATTGGCAGAAATGCAGCCCCAGACTTGCAAGGAACCTCCACCATGCTTCAATGTTGCCTGCAGGCACTCATTATTGTACCGCTCTCCAGCCCTTGGGGGAACAAACTGCCTCCTGCTACAGCCAAATATTTCACATTTTGATTCACCAGTCCAGAGCACCTGCTGCATTTTTCTGCACCACAGTTCCTATGATTTTGTGCATAGTTCAGTCGCTTAGCCTTGTTTCCATATGAAGACCACTTCTGGTCAGACTTCTCAAAACAGTAGATGGGTGTACCTGGGTCCAAATGGTTTGCGCCAGTTCGGTGCTGATGGCACTGCTGCACATCTTCCGATGATCTGTGATGTCATCTGCTGCAATAAGTTTCCTTGGCCGACCACTGCTTCTACGGTCCTCAACGTTGCCCGTTTCATTGTGCTCCTTCAAAAGAGCCTGAACAGGACATCTTGAAACCCCAGTCTGCTTTGAAATCTTGGCCTGGGAGAGACCTTGCTGATGCAGAATAACTACCTTGTGGCTTGTGGCTGTGCTTTGTCTTGCCATAGTGTTTTGACTTGTGACATAACTGTCTTCCACAACCTCACCCTAGTAGTAGAGTTTGCCTGTTCCTCACCCAGTTTTAAGCCTCCTGCACAGCTGTTCCATTTGATGACTGTGTGTCAACCTACATATGAAATTGATCATTAGCACCTGCTTAGTATAATTGGTTAATCACACACCTGACTCTAATCCTACAAAATCTCTGACTGTGCAAGTGTAAAGAATTGATGCTGGTTTAGAGCCAAAGAGTGAGTCGTCACACCAAATATTGATTTGATTTAGATTCTTCTGTTCACTAATATTTTTCATTTTGTAAATTGATCAAAATATATATTCTTGAAAGCATTCTTACTTTACAGCATTTTTTTTTTTTTTTTACACATGCCTAAAACACACACACACCTGTTTTACCTACAAAAGGATTTGTATTTGTCCCTCTAGTCCCCAGATTTTAAGACCGCTGATCTAGAGGTTTCTGCGATTACCTGCGTTAGCCAGGGAAGTCTCTTCTATGTGCTCCTCCTGGTTTCTCCTTTGTTACCAAGCACTGGCATTCTTTGAATAGAAGTCTGGCCCCCTGACAATAAGCTCACCCATCTGAGGTTTCTCTGCCCAATGAGAGCACCCTTATTAGTAACAGTGATTCATTAAATGATGGTGCAAAGCATCAGTTGTGGGGCACAACCTGGAAGTCCAGTACCAAATTTGAAACCAGCATTTGAGGGGCACAGAGAAGAGACATTTATTTTTGAGCAACAAAGGTAACCTCAGTCATGCTTTGTTGTGGGGTTTATGTTTTGGTTTGGGGGTTTTTGATTTTAACTTTTAAAAGCTTAACCCCTGGCCTTCTGGAGCAGTTTCTTAACTTCTGCACTCACATGATAAAATCTGAATTTTTGGCTAGAAAACCCCCCAAACAAGTATATATTTTCTTAAATCCGAGGCCCTGTAGAATAAAAAAAGAAAAAGCTAGTAGCAATTTTTTATGTTGGACAGTATTTGCGCAAATGTTTATCAAACCAACATTTTTAGGATAAAATACCCTAAAATGAATTTTACTGCACACAAAAACACAATATATTATCCAATTTGTTGGTAAAACATAAAAGGGTTGTGTCAGGTAAATATGTCAAGCCTTAAAATTGCCCAAGAAATCGCAAAGGAAATCGCAAAGGACTACAGTACCCCAAATTTCCCATATTCAACGCTTAAAAAGCTTTTACTGCTCATCATACAGAACACGTAACATACATACACTTTTAATGTGTGGCGCAATCCTCAGTTTCACACGTAGGGCACCCAACGTGCGTTTGTGCGTGTACATGGGGGAGGGAGACTTTACATTTTTTTCTTTCATATACGACTTTTAATTTTTTATGCTCAACTTTATTGCTATGACTTGGGGGGCTAATAAGTCCCCTATGTAATGGCAAAGAAGTTGACAGGTTTTCTTTATGAAGACATCAGGGGCCTATTAGACCTGTTGGATCTATGGAACCCAAAGAAGCTGATGAACACATCATGCTTCACTAGCGTCTTCTCTGGCTACAGCAGAGAAATGACAGACTGAAACCAGAAGTGATTTAACACACACCGCTTCCACTTTCAGTGATCAAAGGGGAGATCAGCTGCTGGAAGTGTGCAGATCTCCCTCCAACCGAGGTGGACAGGACCCACACAGGGGACAGGGGTGGAGCCCAGGATATCTGGCAGCAAAGGGGGAGCCACACACACTTCCCAGCACCTTACAAGCGATTGGGCAGCTCTATAGCCGCCTGAACGCTTGTATGTAACAGCCATTACCAGTTGCAAAAAAATTATACCAAGATCAGCCAGGGTGGGGTTCTGTTGTCCTCAGAGAGAACTGAGAACAATGTATCTGATAAGAGTCAACACCGGCATAAAGCACAGGAAGTTATCGGCTCACAAGCTATGTGGCAAGATAAACAGGTATTTTTTGCACTTGCCAAACCGATATAACAAAACTTTTAGTGGTATATTTAAGACTAAAAGGAAGCAAATGAGAGCCGTCCATTGTTAGGGTTTACATTACATCACATACACGTTAATTGTCTACTCCTATTTCATTATATACAGCATTCCCCACCCCTTCACTTCAACCCTGCCAAATGTGTGCCGTGTCTTCTTAATGTTTTACTTCTCTTTTATTTGTCTCTGAATAATATGCAGCCAGCACAGAGGTATAATAATAGGCATAATACTGTCCGGCAATTACATGTGGAACTTCAGAGCGAGAACTTTAAGCCATTGTAATTGCAGTGATATAGAAGGTGGTGTACTGTACCATTTATGGAAGGCATTCCTTCTGGATTACCTCGTATCATTTGGGTTTAGGCTATTTTTCAATTTCCTTGGAAGGCTTTTGTTATAGTACAGCAAACTGTCCTAAAAAAGAATACCGCTCAGTTACTTGGAAAAGCTTTAGGCGTGTTATGCAAGAAGCTTTCAGAATTTGCTAAACCTGAATAAAGATCATGCAGGATAAGCCGTTACACTGCTTAAAGAGTGTGTCGTGATTAGAACTAGGGAACTGTCATTACTGATTTTTGTGAAGGCCACACTCTGGGGAAAACAAATAATTACACACCGCACTGGGTGTCCGCCTTTCTTTCCTCCTCCAATCGCAGAAAATCTTGTAAAAAAAAAATACAAGGCATTTTGTAAATGGGGAAATAGAGAGGAGAGGTGGGGATGCGACTGGAGCACCCCTAAGGCTAGGTTCACACCAAGACTCCTCCTGACCGCGCAGCAATCCGTGCGGTTTTGTGCACGAATGCCGTGCGGTCCGTAGTCGCCAAGGTGTGAATCGTTTGCGCTGTAGGTGCCATTATTGTCTAAAAAAACCTGTGTGTCGGACAAAAAGATACTTGTACCTTTTTTTAGCAATTTGCCGTGTGGCTGTCACCCCATTGAAATCAATGGGCCCCGGGACGCAGGTCTCGGGTGTAGTGCAGGTGTGAACCTAGCCTCGGTGTACGAAAGCTGAGAGTTATGTGCAGGAGACGGCGTGCTGCAGGGTAAGATTTTTATCATTTTGCAGCAGCCCCCTGCACAGGACATACAGCTTTTTAGTGATAATTTTGGGTTTAAATAGACATTGCTACTTCTCGTTGTCTTCATCTTTTGGGTTACTCTTTGCGGAGTCATGGTTGGCATGCTTTTTCTCAGCGAGTCATGAAACCATAGGGTGAATTACCTTTTTAAAAAGAAAAAGTTGTATACCGGGCTTGACGTATATGGTATTTATAAAATGTTGAAAACGAGGCAGTTCCTGTATTAGCATAAAGTAAGGAAGTCACTAGTGGCAGAGTCTAAAAAACAGCTTGAATATGTCTTGTCAAATTTTCTGTGATCATTTTGTGTACTTGTTTAGCTAAAAAAGGTTCAAAGCTTGACTTCATTTTGAAAGGGAGCCTGTGGAACATGGACAGTTAAAACAAAGTAGCAAAACCACATGTCAGAATGATCCGTAGATCTGAAGATATGTTGAACTGACACATGTTTATATCGACATTGCAGAGGCTGAAGGATCTCAAGCAGCGAGAGTTTGCCCGCAATGTTTCTTCACGGTCTCGAAAGGATGAGCGCAAGCAGGAGAAGGCATTGAGACGTCTGCTTGAGCTGGCTGAGCAGAGGAAGCAAGCGGAAAGGTGAAATATTTAAAACCAGAGTACCGGTCATTTGCTGGGTTGCTCAGTAATATGCTGTCTTTATGTTAAATGCCATTTGTTTACCTTGTTTAAAAGGACTCTATCCATCTAGAACTGAGGTGTTGATCTGCACAGCAGTGTTCTTAAGTACTGTGAAGACAACCCTGAACTAATATAAGGTGAACAGTGGTAATGGAGAAGCCCAGGTGTCTGATTTCTCGCCTGAGATGTTCATAGAAAATCATTTAGTCTTCAGGGTGATATTATTGTATACAGCCTATACAATAGTATCACCTGTGTCAATGTTTTACATGGCTTTTAGATTTCGCCTATCATTTTTAGATTTGTACCTGCCAGTACAAGTTGAAAATAAATGTATCTGTAGGTCCAGCATCTGCAATTTATATGCACTTTTCTTGCCAGCCTAATGTGTTTTTATGAGTTGGTAATTTTTTCTTTTTCTTATCTAGTGCTGCTCCAGGCAGTGGCCCCATGTTTAAAGCCACCACAGTTGCGGTGGATGAAGAAGGCACTGAAGACGAAGATATGCCCATCAGCACAAGTTCAGCTGGCCAAGAAAGCCCAAAACACATTCAGGAAGAAAAAGCACTCCAGATAACTGCCCCAACTCAACCACCAGCTCCAGCAGTTACCTTTGGCTTCAAAAGTCCAGTTAGTTCCTCGTTGCTCCAGAAAGGGGGCTTCTCTTTCTCCTTTGCCAAGAAAACTCCATTGAAGCTGGAGTTGCCAGCTGTCTTCAAGGACCACAGTGAGGAAGTGGGTGCCGCAGAGGAAGAGAAGGAAGAGGACAAATCCACGGCAGATATCATAAGCACGCTGAAAAGTCCAATGGAAGCGGAGTGCAGCAAAGATAATGAAGTTAAAGTAGAGGAAGAGGAAGGTGAGGGAGATAATGGCTGCTCCCTGGCCAGCACCTTATCCAAACTGAAGAAGATGAAACGGGAGGAAAGATGTGCTCAGGCAGGGGAGCCGGAATATTATCACTACATGCCACCTGCTCACTGCAAAGTGAAGCCCAACTTTCAGTTTCTGCTTTTCATGAGGTCTACAGAGCAAACACAAACTGAGTACGAAGCTTCAAAAGAAGAGAAGAAACAGGCTGCTCCAAGCAAAGTCAAGCCTTCAAAACAGACAGAAAGTAAAGGGGAGAAGAGTGTGGTTGGTGAAGGAAAGGTGACTCCGGCAACAGAAAGCACTGCTTCTCCAAGCTTACCAAAGGCAGACAAGAAAGAGACTGAGGAAGGCAAAGAAAAGCCTAACACTAATTTAAATGAAGAATCTTCCAAGAAATCCCCAACGCCTGCAAAAGAACAGTCAGAGCGTCCAAAACAACCAACTGGTCCCTTTTTCCCAGTCTTGAGCAAGGATGAGAGTACCACCCTACAGTGGCCCTCTGAACTCCTCATATTCACCCAAGCAGAGCCTTCCATCTCTTACAGCTGTAACCCTTTATACTTTGACTTCAAACTTTCACGGAACAAAGATGCTAAAGGAAAGCTGGCTGGCAAGACAAAGGACAACCCAGGGACTAGCAAAGATGGCTTACCGCCTCCTGAGGCAAGCAAAGATCACAGTGTTGCCGTAAAGAAGGAAGGCTCCTCGGCTGCACTTACTTGTGGGGCCCAGTCAAAGGCTTCCTCTGCACCTCTTAGTGATATCAAACCTGAGTCCGTTGAGGATGAAAACAAAGGAGAGTCTTCAGGAAAGCCACACAAGCACAAAAAGAAAAAAAAGCACAAGAAAAGTGGCAAACGCAAGCGGAAACACAAAGAGGGAGATGAGGGGTCAGAGCAGAAATCGAAGAAAAGGAAGAAACATAAGCACAAGAAGTCAAAGGGTTCCTCCAAAACAGTGTTAAAGGTAGAAGAATCTGAGCCAACTCCGATAACTGCCTTAAAAAGCCTCGCTAAAGACTTAGGCACTCAAAAGTCTGTGAATAAAGAGGGCAGTACTGGAAATGTCAGTACAAAACAGGTCCTTCCCGCTTCCTCCAAAGAGCCTGAAAACAAAAAGCCTAAAACGGAACTTAAATCATCACTTCCACCTCCTGCTGTTGTCCCTTCATCTTCCTCCCATCGAAATACACCCAACAAGGGCAGAAGCCGACAAAGTAGTGGTGACTATGACAGTGAAGATGACGCAGGAAGGAAAAAATCCACCTCGAAATATAGTGAAGAGTATGACTCCACTAGTGACCGCTCCAGAAGTCGATCAAGGTCTGGAAAGAGACGGCGGTCCTACTCATCCAGTTCAGGTGGCTCCACAGATGGAAGTCGATCTAGTCATAATCGAAGTTATTCAGAGAGTGACTATAGTGAATACAGCAGTGGGTCGAGGCGGCGTTCAAAAAGACGGTCACCAGGTTCGGACTCTGATTCTGGGGCCTCTAAGAGACATTCCACTAGGCATAAATACTCCTCTTCTGACTACAGTCGCAGTCGTTCTAGAAGTAGAAGTCGCTCAAGAGGAAGCAGGAGTCGAGGCAGAGGGAGGTCAAGCAGTAGTAGCCGGAGTCGGAGTAAGAGAAGTCGCAGCATGACCGGTCACAGTTGGAAACGCAGTCGCAGTTATAGTAGGGACCGGAGTACGAGCGCTCGTAGTCATTCTGGAAAAGGATCACATGGGCGGGAGAGTGTAGATAGCCGCCGAGGTGGCAGGCGGGACTTTAATCGTTCTAAGATATACCGTTCTCAGTCTCCACATTTTACTCGCTCTGGAAGCCGGAGAGAGGAGAGTCGGGGATCGGAACTAAAAGGAACGAGTAGCTCCAACCAGACACACAAGAGCACTGAAAAAGACTCTGGCCGATGTTCTCTAACAGCTAAACAACTCTTAGAGAAAATTCAGTCTCGCCGTTTGGAAAAGGCAGCTGGCTCTACGGTGGATGGAAACTCAAAGCCAGGAGCTAAAGTAAAAGACCCACCTCAGGGATATTTTGGACCCAAGTTACCACCTGCTCTTGGTAATAAAACCACACAACTGCCCATGATAGGCAAATTACCAGTAGGATTTAAAGTCACTGGTCCACAGAAAGCAGAGCAGGATTCAGGGGAGGTTTCTGTTAGTGTAGATGTGGAGCAGGACAAAGACACTAAGCCTACTTCACAGGTGGAGAATACTCCACCGCCAGAGCCACCTGCACCAACTGCAGAACATCTAACAGCAGAGGACCCTGCCTGCTTCCAGCCACCACCTCCAGAGTTTTCAGAAGGAGATGCACCACACCTTTTGGGCAATGGTGATCTTCCTTTTCCACCAGTTCTTGGAAGGATGACGCCACCACCACCTGAGGGTGAGTTTTATCACCCATCAGCGTTCCCACCTATTGCAGTGGATCCAAATGCCCCCCGTCCCGAGGGTGAAGAGGAGGGTATTGAGGAAGAAGAGGATGAGGGTTCTCTGGCACCGCTGGAGAGCCAGCCTATCACTTTCACCCCAGAAGAAATGGAGAAGTACAGCAAGCTACAGCAAGCGGCTCAGCAGCATATTCAGCAACAGCTTTTGGCCAAGCAGGTCAAGAGTTTCCCAGCAGGGGTACTTCCACAAGCTCTGCAACCTGCAACACCTACCCTTCAGCAAATTCACATTCAGCAAGCACCTCCTCCCATGTCTGCTGCCTCCTTAACCTCTATGCAGCATGCCATCCTGCAGCACGCAGCTGCTGCTGCAGCCATGGGCATCCAACCCCACCACCATCAACAACTGGCGCAAGTCCATCACATCCCTCAGCATCATTTAGCACCTATTTCACTCTCCCACCTAACCCACTCTCTCATCCCAGCCCACCACGCTGCTTTCCTGCATAGCCACCCCATACACATAATCCCAGCTTCTGCCCTCCACCCAGGTGGACCTCTCACGTTTCACCATTTACCCCATGGCCTTTATCCAACTCTGCTTGCTCCTCGGCAATCCTCGGCAGCAGCTACAGCTTTGCACCTGCATCCTCTTCTTCACCCCATCTTCTCAGGCCAAGACCTGCAGCACCCTCCTAGTCATGGGACATGAGATAACCCTCATGAACTTGATAACTGTACCGGATCGTGGCACTAAAGAAGGGCATTAAAACATGCCTGGGCACAGCTGTTAACAGCAGTGAACATAGTACAAAGACTTTCTGTGCCCTATTAGTCGGATGAGGATATTTTGGCCCACATTGCTAGGTCAGTTGCTTGTCCTAGGTTTCCCCATATCTTCCATTTTATTTAGACTGAACACTTTCCAAATTGTCAAAGAACAGGGGTGGGGAAGAAACGTATGATTCACTTATGTATACCTTCTAAAGTCACAAAATCTTTTATTTTTCCAGTTAAACCAATGTAGTTACCAGATGTCTGTCAGCTCCACCACTTATCAGTGGAAATCCTTAAGGTGGATGTCACCAGTGGGTTGATGTTCACTCATAGTCTTGAGGTCAGACATGAAGCTAGGGCAGTGGCACAGTCTGCAGAGGCTTTGAAATTACAGTCCACCCTCCCCAGGAGTGGGTGGGTGGTCACCTTTATGGGAAGGTATTACAGTTCTATGTAAGTTTCAGTTGTGTATTTAGCTTTTGACAGGAAGTACAAAACTTTGCTGGTCACTTGACCTAGGATAAAGCATTAAGGAATATGAAATAAAAAAAAATAATTGTACATGAAGGTGGGTCTTCTCCTGACACTTGTTCCCAAGCGATGGTTTCCTGTATAGAATAGGCCACTAGCAGAAACGACGGACAGTTGCTTCTCCACAATGATGTCAACCAAAATCATGATTTTGAGGATGCAGCGAATGAACGAGTCCGAAAAGGAGGTTTAAAAAAGGCATCTGCACTCTGTATCATATTTTCTTCTTGCTATAGTTGTATATTAAACCGAAAGGGCAAAGGGTATAGTTTTTAACTAGTTTGCAAAAAAAAACAACTATTTCTGCTGCTGTGGCATGTATATTTTATCAGACTTTTTTTTGACGTTTCTATGTATGATACAACTGTACAAAAAAAAAGTTGTAAAAGAGAAAACCTTACAGGTTTGGAGAAAAATACATGTAATATTATACAAAGGACTAATAAAAGAACAAAAGATTTGTGTTAAATTCCTTGTGATATTTTGCATAGATACAGAATGTGTGCCTCTGTCCCCATTTCTGGGGGACTGTAGGTTAAATGGCACCCGTAGGTGGAATATGTGGGCTGTCGTTGCTCTCGGCCTTCTGAAAATCCTGATGGCCCTGCCCGGCTTTAGTAACTTTTGAGGTGTAAGCAGATCTGAGAGATCTGACTTCACTTGCAAGGCAGTTTTGGATCAATAAACAGCCACGTTGAAGCCAGGGCCCGCCAGGGAAACTGCATTTTCAGAAGGCGCAACCTAGTTAAGGGGTAGCCAAACTCCGGCCCTCCAGCTGTGGTGGAAATATAAATCTCATGAGGCATTGCAAGATTCTCACAGCCACAGACATGACTCCCAGATAGAGAGGCATCATGGTATTTGTAGTTTCACCACAGCTGGAGGGCCAGAGTTTGGCTACCCCTGACCTAGTTTCTCATGAGAGGTTTATGGTTTCCTTTATGGCAGAGCTGACTTAGTGAGAGACATTTTATATTAGACCAGTAATACTTTAGAATACAGTAGTCCTCCTGGCAAATACCAATTAGCCTGGCTACCTCTGTCCTGGTATTGTCCTTTTTTTATGTGCAAGATTGTCTTTAGGGATGCACAGATACCAGTTTTCCGGTATTGAGTACCGATACTTTGCTTTCGGTACTCTCCGTTACCGGTGCTTCCGCTGGCCGACGGCGGGTAATGACATGCCGCCTGGCTTCCTGATTGCCCGGGAAGCCGGCTCCATGTTGTTTGGCCAGCTTGATTGTGATTGCCCGGGAAACCGGCTTCCCAGCCAATCACCATCAAGCCGTCTTCCCGGCCAATCAGGATGACGGGCGGCAATTAATAACCCGGCTTTTTGATTGGCCGGGAAGCCAGCTTCAGGCCAATCAACTTTGAGCCAGCTTCTCCGGCCAATCAGGGAGGCGGGTCATTATTTGTCGCCCAACTTCCTGATCGCTGGCTCCATGTTCACCCAAAGCACTACCGGTCAGGAAATCTTCCTGTGACTGGAAGTTCCGGTATCGGGGAAGGTGTCAAAGCATTTGGGCGAGTACGAGTACTTGCCCAAATACTTGGTTTCTGCATCAATACTAGTATCGGTAGCTGTGCATCCCTAATTGTCTTACAGTGAAAGTACTGAAGTAAGTGAAACCACATGACGGCAGACTAATGTTGCAAAAGTCAGCAATGGCATCCTTCCGATTTCTCCTCTGAGGTTTCCTTTAAACTTTATACTTTAGTTGAACTGTTTTCCTTTTGTTTTGGACGGAACAAGGAAGGGTTGGAGCCTATGAGGTTTTCATTGCTCTGTGTCCTTATGATCGATCTCTCCAACAGGAACAAAGGCTAAGCTACTTTTTTTAATCCTGCAAGGTCAACATCCACTTCCTGGACTGAGATGCTGACCCAATGACAATCATATAAATCTTGGTGTCTGTACAGTTTTTGGAAGGGTTCACTAATGTTTCACACAGATCAGTCCCTGCTGTAACCTCTTGTCTTGTGACCTTCAACAAAGTTGCAATATACGTTTTGTGTGATTACTAGAAGAAAGAAAACTGAAGTTTTTTTTTTTTTCAGCTGCCAGCAACAGACTGGTGATATCAGTTTAGTCAAAGAAACCTGACTGACCTCAAAAATGGCTTTTAATGATGAAAGGTTGAGGTATTCTGAAAAATTCAACCAATTGATGTATAGAATTACATCTCAGGTATTCAGAGGCTTAAAAAGTTACTGAAGGATGCACTTTAACCACTTCAAGTCCGCAGTGTTAAACCCCCTTCCCATCCAGGCCATTTTTCAGTGTTCAGCGCTGCGGTACTTTGACGTTTATTGCATCATGCAACGCTGTACTGAAATAAATTTTATACCATGTTTTGGGGACAGATAGAGCTTTCTTTTGGTGGTATTTATTCACCACTGGGGGTTTTATTTTTTACTATATTAAGGGAAAAGTACAGAATTAAAAAAATAAGACAAGTGAATGCGGAAGTCATGTAATACACATCACTTCTGCATTCACCGCAAGGAAGGAGGTTGGCAAGGAGGAAGATGCTGACCTCCCTCCCATCTTCCTCCCGAGCCGGTCCCGGGCCGCAGATGGGGCAGCGGATCCCGGGATTGAAGGTGAGGGGTCAGGAGTGGGGGCGGAGGCGGATCATGGACACGGAGCCAGCATATATACACGATCGGTAGGCTACCAACGAATGTGAGTCCACCGTCCGTCCGGTTTTTTTTTTTGCAAGGGGCGGACGGCAACAGGTTAAAGGAGAAGTGCAGGAAGAGCTGAGCAATCATGTAACTACTGATTTAGTCAACTCTCTTTTGCTTTAGGAGAGCAATGACTGTCAGTCACCGGAATGGATTCCATCCTCCCCTCTTGGTATTGCCAGCATTCCCTGGAGTCACAGATGAGAGGGAGGGCACGGCTGCCTATGGCTCTAGAGAAGCAGAGTCTATTTTAGGCAACTAGAGTGAATCCTGACCGTAATATCTGGATCCTGCTTGGCTGTGTCACTGCTCTGCCCTTGCAGTTGATAATGGGCAGTACATTGGTGAATTTACTCCTGTGTCTAAAAACACAACTAAAACCAAAAAAGGATTTGGTTTCTGTTAAGTGAAATTGATCTTTAAAAGATATTTGTCACCATGTAATAAAAATTATCCTCCATCCCACTCAAACTTTCCAATTGTAATGCACACCTCAGAGGCCCACTTGGATTGTCACGACCTCCCACAGTCAGCCAGCAGTTAATCTGTTTTTCGATCTTCAGTCTGGCTCTGATGTGCATGTGTAGTGCACAGACATAGAGAGTGATGGCCATTCTAGAGCTGAGCTACAGCCAAGATGAACACTGGAGACCAGGTTAGTGCTGCCCAAGGGCTGACAGTCCAGGACAGCGTCTGAGTAAATAAGGGGGGCTTCATTACACCTTATCCTGGAGTTACTCAGTAAAATAGGGTGCTTGGTTGAAAGTGTTGATATCTGGTACGTGTCTCCTAAATGACTAGGCAGATTTAGCAGTCTGAGCCAATTGGCTCATTACACATGCTTTCAGTCGGGGTTGTTCAGTGTCATGGCTTTGTTACTTGCAACTTTGGGGTCTATGGCCACCTATGCATTATATTTCTCCTGATGGTTCAAAAGTCAACAGAGTGGTTTGAGTGCCATCCTGGTCAATAATGGCAATGCATGTTGTGTATCCAGTTCTTTTGTTCACTTTTAATCTACTTAAAGGTCCAGTAAAATTCCAACTTTTATAAAGTTAGAGCATAAGAATGTTGCCCTGCTTCCTATTTTTATAGATGTTGACCAGACATTGAGCATTATAGTAGGAAGTCAGTACTACTTGAGGGGGCTGCAATGTAAACCGTCACCACTAGCTTTGAATTAAACCAGTTCTCTTTCTTTTGGCTTATATTGAGCGTTGAAGTAACCACAGACATGAGATGAGTGTTCTGGCAGCTCAGAGATCATAAAGTGATTGTACTGGCAAATTGTGCCCCATCTGTTCTGGTTTCCTTCAACTTAAGGTGGTACAAGACGTGTCTCTGAGCCTTGCCTCCATAGGCCTAAACTCAAATGCTCGAGTCACCTGTTTAGCACACACAGCATCTTAATTTTGTGTGGAATACTGCTTTGCTGCCCCCTGCAACACTGTTCTGAATGGTGGGTGTGGCAATACTGTGCCAACAGTGGGCAGAGCTTAGAGACCTGGTTGGGTAGCACTTGAAACTACTTGCTGCTTACACTGCACACACAGTACAATCCTTGTACCCACAACTAGTGATGGCCAAACGTGCTTGGATTTGATTTGCAGGCCCATTTGGAAAACTTATAAAGCGCCGTAAATTGCCAACTTTAATGCAAACCATGTGTAAGTCAATGACAGGTGAATCTTGAAAATTAATTCTCTCCCTTTTCAAGGCTAATAGGCAAGAGATTGTCAAATAAATGCAGAGTGGGTTGCTGGGCACTGCCCTCAGTGACGTTTACCATTTACTTAAAAAGAAAAAGTGTTTAGTGGGGAGCAAGTGTTTTAAGAAGGCTGAAAGCGAAGCATTAAAATACCACATTTCTTTCACATGCCCATTTCCACTGGAAGTGGTGCACCTGTACAATATACTACAGCAAACATGACATTTTAGAAAAAAACATTTACCACACAATGACATTTGCATGCCAGCTTGGGCTTTTTTTTGTGGAAAAAGACATGGGCACCCCCAAAACCAAAGGACATGGGAATCTGGGTACAGCCCTGGGAGACATGCACATAGTCAAAAAAAATAACTATGTAATACATCAAAAGTGTCCATTCAAAAAGAAAAATAAATTGTTGCTTAATGACATTTCTTGGCCATACAGGATGCAGGTAGATTAAGGGCCTGTTCACATGAGTTTCAGGTGTGAATCAGCAGACGCGGTGCTATGTGTTTTGCTGCGTTGGAGTGGGGCTGCCAGTATGTTAGCTGCAGTGCAGTGTGTTTTTGATGCGTTTCCTGACCGTACAAAATGTGACATGCAGTATTTTTCTGTCGTAACCTGAACGGACTGCGCACGTGAGAGCTGTAGCCCATAAAACACATAGGGATACATTGGGATGCATTTTTAGTGCAGGAGCGTACGGATCAGGTCAGCACAGAAAACGGACGTCGTGTGAACAGGCCCTCAGAGATGACTGGGTAATATGCAGGTAGCATCAGGTGATCTGGACTCTTGCTAAAGCTGTGAGATCCTCCATAGAACCACCAAGGTGATGGATGTTTTCTTTCCAAGGGAAGACGTATTTCATTTTGGGTACCATAATTCCTGT